GATTTGCTTAGAAATTCTTATGCACCTGCCTTCCTTGGAATCGGTGATCTTCTACATTGATTCTGGGAAGGAAGGCACATAAAGGACTCTGCTGAACACCTGTAGCCTGTTGGCTTTATTTGCCCCTCCTGTGCGGAAAATACATATAATGTTCAGGACATTCTCCTGTGGCTGCGCTTCCACCTGGGATGTTCACAGACAAAAAACCCTTAGTTTTATAATCAGAGACTTGATGTTCAGCTTTAAGAGGGGGATATGATAGTATTTTCAAGTACTTAAAATGAACATACATAGAAGAAGGTCAAGAGATCTTGATCCCATAAATCTTTTGTCATTCTCCCCCAAAAGCAACAAAAATGGTCTTAAATTGCAGGGAATTAGATCCCAGTTTAAGTTAAAAAATAAAGGCTCATGGTGGCCTAGCAGTTAAGACCCCGGGCTTGTCCCACTTAGCAGAGTGAAAGTATGCAAATGCAAGTAGATAAATAGGTACCACTTCAGTGGGAAGGTAACAGCATCTCGTGCACCTTGATGTATAGTCATGTAGGCCACATGACCACAGAAGTATCTTCAGACAATATTGGCTCCCTCGGCTAAGAAATAGAGATGAGCAACTACCCCTTAGATTCACACCCAACTGGACAGGGGAAATATAATAATAAAGTTGGAAGGGACCTTGGAGGTCATCTAGTCCAACCCCCCGCTCAGGCAGGAAACCCTATACCATTTCAGACAAATGGCTGTCCAGTCTTTTCTTAAAAACTTCCAGTGTTGGAGCATTCACTGCTTCTGGAGGCAGGTTGTTCCACTGGTTAATTGTTCTGTCAAGAGGTTTCTCCTTAGTTCTAGGTTGCTTCTCTCTTTAATTAGTTTCCATCCGTTGCTTCTTGTCCTGCCCTCAGGCGCTTTGGAGAATAGCTTGACTCCCTCTTCTTTGTGGCAGCCCCTGAGATATTGGAACACTGTTATCATGTCCCCCCTCATCCTTCTCTTCATTAAACTAGACATACCCAATTCCAGCAGCCGTTCCTTATATGCTTTAGCCTCCAGTCCCCTGATCATCTTTGTTGCTTTTCTCTATACTCTTTATAGATTCTCAACATCTTTTTTACATCGTGGTGACCAAAACTGGATGCAGTATTCCAAGTGTGGCCTTACCAAGGCATTGTAAAGTATTAATTTAATTTAATTTAATTTAATAATTTAATTTATATACCGCCCTTCTCCCGTAGGACTCAGGGCGGTGCACAGCATATTAAAACAGACAAACAAGATACATCAAAGAACAAAAAAAACCCCCATAAAACCAAATTAAAAGCCAAATATTCGAAGCTGTGTGTCAATTAAAATTTTCTTAAAATCATCCCTACCTAAAATCCTCCCTAGGTCAGGTCCGCTTGCTGGAAAAGCCATGTCTTGAGGGCGCGGCGGAAAGTAAGGAGATCCGGAATCATCCGGATCTCGGGGGGTAGTTCGTTCCAGAGGG